CCTCTGTCTCTGTCTCTGTCTCTGTCTCTGCCTCTGCCTCTGTCTCTGTCTCTGTCTCTGCCTCTTCGTCTTCCTCTTCCTCTTCCTCTTCCTCTGTCTCTGTGTCTGTGTCTGTGTCTGTGTCTGTCTCTGTCTCTGCCTCTGCCTCTGCCTCTGCCTCTGCCTCTGCCTCTGCCTCTTCCTCTTCCTCTGCCTCTGCCTCTGCCTCTGCCTCTGCCTCTGCCTCTGCCTCTTCCTCTTCCTCTTCCTCTTCCTCTTCCTCTTCCTCTGTCTCTGTCTCTGTCTCTGTCTCTGTCTCTGTCTCTGTCTCTGTCTCTGTCTCTGTCTCTGCGTCTGCCTCTGCCTCTGCCTCTGCCTCTGCCTCTGCCTCTTCCTCTTCCTCTTCCTCTTCCTCTTCCTCTTCCTCTGCCTCTGCCTCTGCCTCTGCCTCTGCCTCTGCCTCTGCCTCTTCCTCTTCCTCTTCCTCTTCCTCTGTCTCTGTCTCTGTCTCTGTCTCTGCCTCTGCCTCTGCGTCTGCCTCTGCCTCTGCCTCTGCCTCTGCCTCTGCCTCTGCCTCTGCCTCTGCCTCTTCCTCTGTCTCTGTGTCTGTCTCTGCCTCTGCCTCTGCCTCTGTCTCTGTCTCTGCCTCTGCCTCTGCCTCTGCCTCTGTCTCTGTCTCTGTCTCTGCCTCTGCCTCTGCCTCTTCCTCTTCCTCTTCCTCTTCCTCTGCCTCTGCCTCTGCCTCTGTCTCTGTCTCTGTCTCTGTCTCTGCCTCTGTCTCTGTCTCTGTCTCTGTCTCTGTCTCTGTCTCTGCCTCTGCCTCTGCCTCTGCCTCTGCCTCTTCCTCTTCCTCTTCCTCTTCCTCTGTCTCTGTCTCTGTCTCTGTCTCTGTCTCTGCCTCTGTCTCTGTCTCTGTCTCTGTCTCTGTCTCTGCCTCTGTCTCTGCCTCTGTCTCTGTCTCTGCCTCTGTCTCTGCCTCTGTCTCTGTCTCTGCCTCTCTCTGTCTCTGCCTCTGTCTCTGCCTCTGCCTATGTCTCTGTCTCTGTCTCTGTCTCTGCCTCTCTCTGTCTCTGTCTCTGTCTTTGCCTCTGTCTCTGCCTCTGTCTCTGTCTCTGTCTCTGTCTCTGCCTCTGTCTCTGCCTCTGTCTCTGTCTCTGCCTCTGTCTCTGCCTCTGTCTCTGTCTCTGCCTCTCTCTGTCTCTGCCTCTGTCTCTGCCTCTGCCTATGTCTCTGTCTCTGTCTCTGTCTCTGCCTCTCTCTGTCTTTGTCTCTGTCTCTGTCTCTGCCTCTCTCTGTCTCTGTCTCTGTCTCTGCCTCTGCCTCTGTCTCTGTCTCTGCCTCTTCCTCTGCCTCTGTCTCTGTCTCTGCCTCTTCCTCTTCCTCTGCCTCTGCCTCTGCCTCTGTCTCTGCCTCTCTCTGTCTCTGCCTCTGTCTCTGTCTCTACCTCTGTCTCTGCCTCTCTCTGTCTCTGCCTCTGCCTCTCTCTCTGTCTCTGCCTCTGTCTCTGCCTCTTCCTCTGTCTCTGTCTCTTCCTCTGTCTCTGCCTCTTCCTCTGTCTCTGCCTCTTCCTCTGCCTCTGTCTCTGTCTCTACCTCTGTCTCTGCCTCTCTCTGTCTCTGCCTCTCTCTCTGTCTCTGCCTCTGTCTCTGCCTCTTCCTCTGTCTCTGTCTCTTCCTCTGTCTCTGCCTCTTCCTCTGTCTCTGCCTCTTCCTCTGTCTCTGTCTCTGCCTCTGCCTCTGCCTCTGTCTCTGTCTCTGTCTCTGTCTCTGTCTCTGCCTCTGTCTCTGTCTCTGTCTCTGCCTCTGTCTCTGCCTCTGTCTCTGCCTCTCTCTACATATATACAGTATATATATATATATATATATATATATATATATATATATATATATATATATATATATATATATATATATATATATATATATATATATTACCATGTATCTTATGTAATCTCTGTACTTTTAGGCCAAACTTTGCTGAACATAAAGAACAAGTTTTGTTTAAAGTGTGTCTAAGTTTTTAAAGTACTTTTATCTTCACTGGATACAATGGATTTTCTGATATTCTATTATTTACAGCTTATGTTTCAGCACTGGCCTTATTTCACTGCGCTCAAGAGCCCCGTGGACAAAACTCAAAGAGAGAATAAAGCAAAATGAGAAGAAAGGTTTCCGGAGCGTTGCCATGCCGATGTACTTATACTACTGACAGAAACATGGATAAGACAGATACTTTATTGATCCCAGTTGGAAAAAAATGAAGTGTCCAGCAGTTGAAAAACATAGATCCAAACAAACAAATATGTACACAATTTAAAAACGGACTCACAATAGTGATAAAGGACTTTAGGTCACAACAGCAGCAGAGGTTTGGTTCGGACCTTATCCATCCGTAAACTCTGGTCCGTGATCATTTCCTACTTTTACGTCTGTGTCTGATCTTGGGCGGCACGGTGGCTGAGTGGATAGCACTCTCGCCTCTCAGCAAGAAGGTCCTGGGTTCGAATCCCGGCCGGACCAGG